CATAGTCTTTATACGGCAAGAAAACGACACCGTATTGGTTACCTTGCCAAGGCTATGTCCAGAAAGCAGAGCAATTTGTCTCTCCGCAGTCTGATAAAAAAGATTCCACAAAAGAAAAAAGAAAAAGCCAGATAGTTGGAAGAATGAAGAATCCACCATGTTTGATCATTACTTGTTGATTCAAATCTCTGCGATCTTCTTCCCAGCTTCAGTTCAATTTCTAAATCCGTTGCATTTCGGTTTCATCACAGTAACCTAGGGTTTTCAACAATCTCTCTCCGTCGTCGTCCTTTTGGGAAAAAGCTCAAATTGGATCGAATTAGTATTTGGTCTGGATTAGTCTTGAATAAAAAACGAAGGCGAACGAAGATGAAGGCGATGGAGACGATACAGGATCTGATCGAGGAAGCCAAACTACGGACCGTATGGTGGGGCTTATGCATCTTCTCCGTTACATACTTCTTGACCCGTATGTTAATTCTTACCCTTTCCTCTCCCGTTTAGCGCATTGTTTCTAGTTTTAGACAAGGAGATTCGATTTTTAGTTAAAATCCCAGTTTTGATATGTCGTGGAAGCTGCAAAATTGCACCTTTAAGACATTTAGAAGCAACTTGGACTGGGTTTAGATGAAGGCATGTTTAGTATATAGAGTTATTGGTTACTCTGTTCTTTCTTTGGACTCAAGTTTAATTCTTTTTTACACGTTGTTTCTCTTATATCTTATGGTATTTGCTTGTAACATAATGTTTTCGTTCGACTATTTTCATATGCTGATCTCTTTTTTTGGAATTTTTTTGTGTGTTCTCATGTAGATACAAGTAAATCTATGTGGATGAATTTGCCAATGGCAATCCTCATTCTTTGCGGTCTGCGGATTCTCTGTAATCAGATTGAGTTCAGATGGAAATATCTGCCAACTCCAAGGCAAAATCAGTTTTCTCACCTCGAGAAGAAGCGCTTGTCCTTGAATGATCCACGTCTTTCCACTGTCCCACCTCCTCCAAGGTGGAAGAAGAAAATCGACTCTCCTGTGGTGGAAGCTGCAATCAATGATTTTATTGACAAGATCCTTAATGATTTCGTGATAAATTTGTGGTACTCCTTGATCACGCCAGATAGAGAGGCCCCTGAACTGATCCGTGCTGTAATCATGGATGCTCTCGGTGAAATTTCAGTAAGGGTCAAAGAGATAAATATCGTTGACTTGCTAACCAGGTGCCGTCCTTTATTCCTCTTCCCTTACGTCGATAATGCTTTCGCAGTCCACCATAAAATGTCTAGAGTAACTTGGATTGGATCTTTATTGGATGATAATGATATCAATGCCTTCACGTGCAGGGATATAGTTGATCTGATAGGTGACCATTTGGAAAGTTTTAGAAGAAACCATGCTGCTATAGGTACTGATGTTATGAAGACATTGTCATCTGAGGAGAGAGATGAAAGATTGAAATACCATCTTATGGCTTCTGGGGAGCTTTATCCTGCACTCATGTCACCTGAGAGTGAGTACAAGGTATGAGGGATAATTCGGATGAAAATGACGCCACTATATTCGTTTCACTCCTAATTTTGTTACTTAGCACACACATGCTCTTGCTTTCTCTAACAGGTGCTTCAGAAAATAGTCGCTGGCATATTATCTGTGGTTCTCAGACCACGAGAAGTTCAGTGCCCTCTTGTTCGAACGATAGCTAGAGAGATTGTTACTTGCTTGGTAGTCCAACCTCTTTTGAATTTAGCATGCCCGGAGTAAGTTCTCTACCTATATTTGTCATCCAGAAATCATGTTTCGTATCAAAATACCTTCGAGTCTTTTCCTTGTCCAATGTGTATAATGAAATCTATTTTACAAGACGAATGACTGCAGATTAGTATATCCGTTGGAAGCTCTTTTTCCTGGGGTTTACTCAGTGCTGCTCATTTACTTCGAATTCTGCCTTCAGTTTGTCTAAGGGATGCTAATTAACTTTCCATTGTGCACCAGGCGTATCAACGAGGTGATTGAGATCGTTATCAATCTTATTAAGGAGGGAAACTTTGAGCAGTTTTCGGGGGAAGAACAGAATGTTAACTCTGCCTCATCGTCAGCCTTTGATAATCAAGGAAAAAATATGAGTTTGACAAAAGTTAATGAGCAGAAGACACCATCCATAGACTATGACAGATATCCACAGCTGCCCATGCAACAACACTCTGGTGATTGGGCTCGGATGCTAGAGGTCGCAACGCAAAGGAGAACAGAGGTTCTTACTCCTGAGAACCTTGAAAACATGTGGACAAAAGGAAGAAACTACAAAAAGAAGGAGTACAAAAAATCTGAGGCCAAACAGAAGAATTCTAGCTCCATATCGAGGACTTCTACGGGAGCAGAAGAAAAAGTAGTGGCACAATTGCCCCCTAGAGTAAGCGTTGATAAGCAGTCACAAACGCAAATGGCTGAGGATTATAGTAAATCATCTTCATTTGAAGGAGGGCGCCACATATATGAGGTTGATGTTAGAAAGGAATTTCCTTCTGATGGAAACAAAAATAGGCTTAAGAGATCCAATAGTACGTCGGATCTTAATAAACAGCCTGAAACAAGGCTGGCACTATTAGGAGTCGGTGAGGGGCCTCTTATCACAGAATTCTACACCACTGATTTTATCAAGCACAATGAAAATTATATATGTGATAATAAATCCCCAAATATTCTTCTTCACAAAGAGGGTCAGCATTGCCCAAAGCTCAAATGTCGGGTAAGCTCTGTTCTTGATGCCAA